TGTGCACACACCAGTGCAGTTACAGCATTATAAGTTTTTAATGAGAGTAGTCTCCATTAATACAAAACAAGGCTGAGAGTAAATAATTGGTTTCAATATTTTATCAGGTGCAAACCACACTTTTCAGTGCGTCTGCACAGGGAAGAGGGGCGGCTCCACTGGAGAGCTGCTTGGTTTGGCTGAGTGAGTGCAAATAAAGAGATGTGATTCAGCCAAATCAGAACATGGGATTTGTGTCTGTCATCCCTTTTTTTCGTAACAGATATTAAGTCATGACTCACGAATAATCGAAATACTGTTTCTATAAATAAAGATTAAACTGAGCGATGTTTTCAGCAACAAAGGGTATTTTATATTGCTTCCCTATATGGGTAGGATAAAGCCTGGGAGCACTAGGATTTAAACAGTTTCTGGGTGGTACCATAAGTACTGCACAAGAAAGAAGACTGTAGGAAAGAGGGAATCGCTGGTAATTTCCGCTGCCCTATTACATGTCCCAGAGCTCTGGAAGGTGATGGGCACTGTTAGAGAGGATATGCCAAAGAGAATTGCTTTTACAAGTTTTCTGGTTACCAGATGCATTTAATAAGTGATAATGATGTTTGAAATGAACAGGTGAATTCATGAAAAACAGCTTCTGCTATCTCTCTTCACAGCAAGCATCCAACATGTTTCAGACCTGCCAATCTGGACATCCAGCTTTGCTGATTCACAGGGCTCAAGTAGGGCTTATCTACAATTTTAGATGTTTATCCCAATCAAAGGTTGTGTTTATATTGGACTTGGGATGAAGTCAACTTATGAGCAGAACTTTGCTGCTACCCTGATGAGCTATGAGAATACTATTATATATCTGTATAGATAACTAGATGGATGGATAGTAGTAATTTTCAAGCTTGGTAGTGAATTTATTGAATAACATTAAGGGATGCAGTATAGTTTAAAGTTCATCATTTAAAAGCATGTCCCCAGTTGTGGGTTGCACTCCTGGCTGGTGATCTTTTATATTTACTTTTGATGGCTTTGCTTGTGGCCTTGTGGAAGAAATATGAGGACAAAGTCATTCATTCCTGTTCTCTCAATACTTCACACTTGTTTGAAGTGCTGGGTGTACTGACATTCAGCATGCACAATGCTTATTGTTTCTTTTGTAGGTTTTATTTTGTCTAGGCTTTGCTTTGATACAGCAAATCATCTACATTTTTTTTTACAGTTCATGTCCCTCGGGGTGCAAAGTATGTTTTCTAAAGGGCTTAAATGATTTAAGAAGCTAAGTTCCCCAGACCTCCAAAGAGATTCATATCACTGATTGTGGTATTTTTTGAAAACCCCATTCAAAAGCTGCTCAGTGCAAGCAGTTGTGCTATGAAGAGGAAGGGTTATGGTCATCTTGCTACTCTTGGAAGGGTCATCTTGCTACCAAACACCAATATTTAAGTGGAATAACACCTTTTATGGCAAGTCCTTACCTCTTTCTCTTCCTAACTTCCAAATGGCTGAAGCCCAGTAAGCGTGAGTGACACCTCTCTTGTATGCCAGCTGAGAAGTTACTGTTTGCTGACCTTTTTTCTGAATTTTCCTGACCTGCATCTGTACTGGCCGTTTGGCAACATGTTGTTGAGAGCAGAGGAGCGTGGCACAGTGAGCTAGCCAGGCTGTGCATGGCTGTCCCACCAGGATGAAAGCCAGTGGCCACACCAGCAGAAAGTCATGGGATAATTTGCCAGAGACTGCCCTTATTTTATAAAGTTGGATGTCGGTTTATTTCAGTGAAAGCAGTGAAACCCAAAATAAAACGTCAGGTATTTGAGGACATGCTGTGGGTCTGATGACTTGGAGTCATAGGACTTTTAGTCTTAAAAGACGTATCATAACTTGTGATAAACTTTTGTGACCAAGTGCAAGCATGGTTCTGCATCAGGAGATGCATCATAAAGCATTAGCAAAGTTCATTCTTGAGCAAGACCTAAACCCTCAGGAAAGGGGGAAGGGACCCTTACCATGTTAATTTGACAAAAATCACAGAATCACAGAATGGTTAGGGTTGGAAGGGACCTCTGAAGATCATCTAGTCCAACCCCACTGCCAGAGCAGGGTCACCTACAGCAGGTCGCACAGGATGGCGTCTAGGTGGGCCTTGAATGTCTCCAGAGTGGGAGACTCCACAACCTCTCTGGGCAGCCTGTTCCAGTGCTCTGCCACCCTCAAAGGAAAGAAGTCCTTCCTCATATTTAGATAGAACTTCCTATGCTCAAGTTTGTGTCCATTACCCCTTGTTCTGTCACTGGGCACCACTGAAAAAAAGACTGTTCCCATCTATCTGCTACCCTCCCTTTAAGTATTTGTAAGCATGAATAAGATCCCCCCTTAGTCTTCTTTTCTCTAGACTAAAAAGACCCAAGTCCCTTGGTCTTTCCTCATAAGAAAGATGCTTCAATCCCCTAATCATCTTTGTAGCACTTTGCTGGACCCTCTCCAGCAGTTCCCTGTCTTTCTTGAACTGGGGAGCCCAGAACTGGATGCAGTACTCCAGATGCGGCCTCACCAGGGCAGAGTAGAGGGGGAGGATGACCTCCCTCGACCTGCTGGCCACACTCTTCTTGATGCACCCCAGGATGCCATTCGCCTTCTTGGCCACCAGGGCACATTGCTGGCTCATGGTCATCCTGTTGTCCACCAGGACTCCCAGGTCCCTTTCCACAGAGCTGCTCTCCAGGAGGTCAGCCCCCACCCTGTACTGATGCATGGGGTTATTCCTCCCCAGATGTAGTACCCTACATTTGCCCTCGTTGAATTTCATAAGGTTCCTCGCTGCCCAACTCTCCAGCCTGTCCAGGTCACGCTGTATGGCGGCACAGCCTTCTGGCACGTCAGCCACTCCTCCCAGTTTTGTGTCATCAGCAAACTTGCTGATGGTACACTATCCCTTCACTCTATCCTTCCACCTCCATCACTGTTGTCTTTTCCTGTTGGTAATTTTAGTTACATGCAGGCTTCTACTGGAGATGATCAAATTACGTATTCTACTAGGAAAAACATCCATCTAGCTGCTGGGTTTCAGATCACAGTTATACAGGCGGGAGTTGCGCCGTTGCCAGACCAGCCAAGTGGGAAAGTTGGCCTTGCTCCATATAAACAGCTCTGACTAAGCAAGCCGCACTAAATTTGGAAAAGAATTAGGGGAACTAATTTTTCAACTGCCCTGGAGTCGTTTATCTCCAGTTGCCCCATGTTAGCATTTTATGGGAAGAGTTTCTATTACTCATGACTGTTTCCATCATGTTTGTTTTCAGATAGCGTATTTTTGTCTTCTGTAAACTAAAAGAGTTTAAAAGATCCATCAGTGAACAATGGATCAAGAGTCTGTCTACTTCTTTTCCCACCCACAGGTAGCATTGCAATTACTGCTGAGATGAGCAGTGCAAGGCCATGTTGTTGTGTAGTGCCACTGATAATCTTTTCCAAAAAACATTTTCTTCTATTTTTAAGAGGGAATAGTGTTTTTAATAAAGAGGTCCTTTGCTACAAGTAGTGCAAAGACTGGAATAAACAGCATGAAACATTTGCTCTTCCATTCATGTTTTGATTGATTGTAAATGTATTCTGCACATTTGTATCACATTGATACCATATTTCTCACTTATATATATTATGAATTGCATAGTTCCTTTCTTTTTGGTCATCATACTTTAAGCTGATCTAAGAAATGTTGACACTGAAGAACCACACTTCTGAGCTGATTTAGCCATAATTGAAAGATTTTGCCAAAATTACAGGTATTTCCTGCGATTGTTGGGGGTTTTTTTCCCAACATCAGACTTTTGTTCTTTGTCTCACTTCCTCTACAAATTTTTACTGCAGGATACAGGCAACAGTCAAGTGAGGTCCAGTGTCCCAGGGCCCTCTGTAACAGATTAAGAGGCCACCGCAAGCTGGAAAAGAAAAAGCTGCGGTGGAAAATAGGGGCAAACCCTGAGCAGGAAACTCCACCGGGGCTGGGGCCAACAACATCCTACTGCTGGCTGGGATCAGAAGAAAAAAAAAAAAAGCTGTAAAGAAGGTTTTGGGAAGCTTTGTCCTTATTTGGAGAATAAGTTTATGCCTCTGCCCAAAGCAGGCTAGTTTTGAAAAGGCTCTCAAATGGGCAGGGAATTTTTTGCTTCAGCAGCATTATTATACACAAGCATCATACACAAGCACATCCTATAATCAGTAGGTCTCAAAAAATCTGGTCTCTTAAAACTGGAGGGTTGGAGTCCAGATTGTCACCTGGTGCTGTCCCACAAGTAAATCTGTGAAAAATTTACATACCTGAAAACTTAACCCAGCCTCCTGATGTCCCTCCAGCTTTGTCTAATGATTCTGCGAACGAGGCAGTCGGCTGAGCCATCTCCTCTGGGCACCCAGACAGGGCTCAAAGGGGCGGCAGATTTGTAACCGGCGGTGGTGTGTGATTAGAAAGGGGCAGAAGTGGGGCAGAGAGGGTTTTCAGTTTAATTTAAGGCAGTGATCCCATTGATGCTTAAGAAGGAAAAGGCTCCGACTCACCTCTCTGAGCTGGTTAGATGGGAGCAGCTGGAATGAAAGGTCATGTCAATATTGTCCCTGAATTTGAGAGATGCATCAAAATGAAAATGAAATTGTAGAAGCAGAGGGGCTGATGTATAGTTTTTTCTTTTGCACACACATCCACGTAACTACAGCAATGTGAATGTAATTATCAGAAAGTTATGGAGTAGTTAAATATTGAGGCTACCTGAATTGGTGAAATTATCTCCAACAGCTTGGTAATGTCCCACATGAGGAGCAAATTGGAGCTGGACCTGAAATAAGCACCCTACAAAATCTTCTGCCATTGCCCATCTCTGCAAACTTCTTAGCAAACTAGCTGTTTTTCCATGGCACTGACATTTAAACTTCATTTTTTGGTGAGAAATGGCAGTAAAATCAGTAGTTATCCAGAAAGTTTTGCATGGTTACTTCAGAAGGGCTACGCTTACATGCTTGAAATGACAAGTACGTCAAGACTTCTCTCTGATTTCATCATAGCTGCTGCAGATTCACAACCTGTTGTATAACATACAGAAATATCATGAAAACTCCCAGTCAGTCCTTTTTGGTGGTAGTGCTGGTGTGTGGCTGTGAGGAGTTTGTGAATCCAGGAACATCATCATAGCATGCCAGTGGGTCAGTTTTTCTTGGATTCTGGAGGTCATGGTGCTTCTTGCTGGTTGCCCTGTTTGGATTTTCAGGAGTGCTGAATGCCAGTCCTGGTTTGGGCGCCCATGTATACAAAGGCTTCAAGAAATCACAGTTTGGGAACTACCATTTTTTTGGTCTTATACAGAGAATTTGATTATTTTTTTTTCTCCAAGCAGAACCAAATAGAATTTTGAAAGCATCAAAATTGCTTGAGGTATGAAATTATGTTTCTCTGTTGTATGCTCAGGAAAAAAACTTGTTACAGGGCTCCTTAATACAGGGAAGAAATGGATCTCTCGAGTATCTAGGACAGTCTGGATGCTATCTAGATCATAGTCCAGGTTTTGGTTTTCACATTGCCACTGACTCCTTGAGTCACGTGCGTGCACATGGCTTTAACTTTTAGCTTCGCTTCCCTGTCTGTAAAGCATTTTTTTTATTAGGGTTTATGAGTTAATTACTTGTAAATTGCTTTAAGATTCCCAGAAATGAGACTGTTAGTGTGTTTATTGCTGTTATTGCTACTGATGAGATCTTGATCATAGCAAGACAATACAAGATTAGTGTTTATTGCAGTGTGACTGAGTATCTGTTTACATTAAAACAAAGAAGAGATTGCAGTTCCCAAGCCTAGAAAACATACTTGGTGGAGCTTTGAGTCAGCTTTAAAATCTGATTATGTGATAAAATTGGATAATAAGGCTAAACACTAGCCAGTATCACTTGTGTATATGTTTCTTTGAAAACCTTATCAGCTCTCCAACACGTATGGCTCTGTGGCAGTACATCCTAGGGAAAGGCAGATAGCATCTTTTGTTAGAGAAATGGATTTGGGATATGTTTTGCCCACTCTTTGAAGGAAAAACAATGTCCAAAATCCTGTGTTTTTTCTATATCTTTATGACCGGGATAAATTCCCTCTGTGTTTGGTTATCACAACAGCTGAATGCATCTCCAAGGGGTTTCTGGTCTGTTGTGCAGCAAGTGGCCTTTGGTGCGCTTTGGCAATATTTTGGGTCACTGGTGATAACTGCTTCGGTTCAACATTGCAATTTCTGAGCTGATGTACATTAAATACAATTAAATCTCTCTTTCTGCTTCAGGAAAAACAGAGGCCGTCATCAAAAACTTCAGCCCACACTACAGACGCCAGCATGCGGTGGCTTTCTGCAAGCATGTGCAGGATGAGCTGGAGCAGCACAGGGATTCCCAGTCCCGGTTCCTGAAAACCAAGGTAGGAGGGCATGTAAACCCTTCCCCATCCTGAAGCTGCCATACAGCTCTGCTCTCCTGCATGAAATAATTAATGCATTAACTATTTAAATCACACATTAGTAGTCATTATGTATGAAAAACATGAGCTGGAAGTCTATCAGCTACCAACTGGGCTTGGTTTTCTTGTTTTTCCCAGTGTTGAATGCCCTCAAGTAAAGTTAATAGATGGTACAGATACTCAAATCTTAACATCAAGCCCAAAGTATTTTTAAAGTTATTTAAGTATTTCTGTATATACAAGCAAAGTACAGAAGTGTTCTTTTGGCTTCTTACATTGGATAGTGCAATACATAATAAATGCATATCTAGGACATTTTACATGTGCACTTTTTTATATGTAGCCCAAGTGTACACAACAGATTTGCAAGGGCAGATGTCGGATTTGGTTCAGTTAGGTTTCAGGTGGAAAAGTTGCATCGGGGTGCAGGCTTAAAGTTTATTTTTGAAAATTCGTCTTCGTTTTGGTCATGTTTGGTTGTCTCATTGTAACTTGAGAAGAACCATGACACAAGTTTCTGGTACAAAGCATCCATTTCATCAAGGTAGAGTTGGATGCTTGGACAAAACTAGTTGCTTCCTGCTGATTGCAAGGTTTTGCAAGAATCTTGGGTCAATGATCCTACATTTAGGGCAGAAATTTATGTGGGAAACTTAATTAACCCTTTCAGCCATGGCTACAGGGTTCCATAAAGAAGCTATGGAGAGCTGTTTTTTATTAGAGAGGCAAAGGAGAAACAAGTCTCTTTATTAGATGAAAATGCAGAGAAACAGCCTTCAATATTAAGAAGATCCAAATCTAAATTTTTCGGCCATGTTGGAAATCAATTGGAAATGAATAGGGTAAAGCAATAAGATGGCATGTAAAAGATGGTATAATCAAGAACCTCGTCTTTCGGAAAGATGCATATCAGTTACAAGAGCACAGGTGCAAAAGTGTTACAAAGAAATGGGAAATAATTTACTATTTTATAATAAAACTCATTGCTGCAGAAATGAAATGTTTTTATTGATGTTATGTAGTGGGAAATGGGAGATAATGAACTATAAGTGATCTTGCATTCGGCTTGCCAACCAAAAGGTAAATAAAAATGTCTCTGTCTCAGAAATCTGGAAGTGTTTTTGGAAGGCAGAGGTCCTGTGCTGCCTCCTCACCTTAAGCTACAAAAATTTGATTGCATGTGTAGTGTCTGCCCAAATCAGAGGTGTTTATGACTCCAAATTGCATTTGAAGACTCAAAAGCCCTTGTAGCAGTCTTTATTTCTACATGGAAATGTAGAAATAAAAGCTTCAAAATGGTCAGTAATCCAGAGTTATTTCAAATCTACAAAATTGTCTTTGTAGCCACCGGCAGAAGCTGAGACAGTCTTATACGAAGCAGAGCTGCTGCATTTTGCTGAGGATCTGAAGAAGTGGAAGGACAGATATGTCGTTGTCAAAAATGACTACACTGTGGATTGCTTTGAGACTAAAGAGGTAAATGTTTCTTCCTCTTATGTTCTTCTACGCTCCCAAAGAAACTGATATCAAGTGAATTGGCCACTGCTGCCACTTTTCTTTCGGCAATACTAGATGAAATGTTGTCCTCGGCAAGGTAGCTCCAGGCTTGCAGAGATGGATGGAAGCTCCACGGGGATAGCTGAGGGAACAACCAAGCACCTTGTGTTGGCCATACATGTTGGCAAGAATTAGCAAATCATTTTAACAGCACTTTGAACCTTCCTTATCACAGAACACTTCTTACCTGTGTGTCATTGTAATACGTCCCCATGCTTCTGCTGTTGGGTTTTAAGTAGCAATTTTTGGGTTGCTTCGGGTTGACTACAGTGAAACTTTTCATTTGGCACCTGCCATAGTCAAACTAGTCCTGGCTGACAAATCAGATGAATAGGGCTTAGAAGAAAATCCCATCCTTTTCCCCTCCCTCTATCCCTGACATCATCATGGCTCGTGAGCATGGAGAGGATATTTTTAAATATGTTTTTTACATTTAACCATGTTTAAGATTTGACATTTCCAGGGAATATTTCCAAAATTCAGTCTCACAAAAAAAATTCCCTTTGGGGAATGTGCCCGTGCATTAGCTTCATAAATGACTTGTGTGCTTTATGTTTTCCCTCTCCTTAATTGCTATTTGACTCCCTCTCTCTTGACTTTCCAGGCCTACCAGAAAGGAGCCAGCCCTAAATACCATGTTCTTCCTGCAGGAGGCAAAGTACTGACTTCAGAAGAAGATTACAATTTGCTGTCTGATAAACATTTTCCAGATCCTGTTGGTAAGCCCTGCTTGAAGCTGAACTGACAAACCCCAGGCTCTGTTCCTTACGCAGACTTCTTCTGGGCAGGCTTTCAGGCTAGTCTCTGAAATGGGGCAACGGAAGATGCACGCAGCCCTTTTTTGTAAGTCAAAGCACAGCTCCAGAGTGGACTTACACAGAAGATGCTATAAGCTAACGTTCAGAGAAATGCTGGCTCCCTTTTTTTTCCAGCATCCCGGCACAAAGCCACTGGAAGCTGTACAGAAGCAGGGCAGGAACCACACCACCATTGTTCCCGGGCTTTGTTAATATTCCTGGTTTATTTGTTTCCATTTTTAGATGCCAGCTGCCTGTGTTGACTCACAGTTGATAATAAGTCCCATAGAGAGGGCAGGAAGGTTGCTGCTGCTGAATTTGTTGTTTCTGGAACAGGAACCACTGTGGTCCTGCCTGCTCCCACCCCGCTCCACGAAGATGGAGAAAATTCGGGCTTTAAGGGAGTGGATGTCATGGTTCAGTTAGATTTGGAAAATGGGATGACACATAAGGAAAGGGATAAGGGCAACATGTCAAGAAGGATTTTTTTTTTTTTAAGTCCTGTGTCATAATGAAGTTATGACTGTTGGGAGATGTCTCCCTTACACCACTTTCCCAAGGTGTAGGGTGGTCAGAGGGTGGTGTGGGGCAGCAGTGCCTGGAAGTGTCCTCCATGTGTCACCACAGCTCTGCGGCACTTGGGGTTGAGTGATGTGGAGCAGCTCAAGGCCACTTGTGTGCTTCCCATGGCTCTCCTTTCACAATGAGTGGCTCAGTCTTTTATGGCCCTTCTCCCCTTCTGTGCAATGCTGAACGTCCTCCAAGATGAACCTCTTGTGGCTGGGCACTCGATGCATGGCACGGAGCCAAGATAGGGTTTGGTCATCCATAAATGGTGTTGTACAGCATCCCCTGTGCACAGTGACTCAGGGCAGGTGGAAACGGAAGCTACTTAATACTTTTTTTGCTTCATCTTCAAGGGCTTGAAGTCACAGTTCATAAGGCCATCTTGCAGCTGTGTTTGGAAGCCCTGGAGGCAAGGGAACCACTGCTGGTCCTACACGATCTAATGCATTATTTTTCTCTGTGTAGGGCTGTATGTTCCTGTATAGTGCCTATGTGGAAGAGACCAGAGTTGCCCACTAACTTACTTTTTGCCATGAAAACCTTTTCCTTAGCAGTGACAATCCAATGAAATAGTCACTTTGAAATTTTACTAAAAATGAGTAGTTTATGTCCACCTTGAATACAAAACAAGAGTACATCAAGTTGCTATGGTATAGCGTAGAGAGGTGGTTGGTGCCCACTAAGTTTGCCCGTCTCAGCTGTGTCCCCCTGCCCTCCATGCCCGATTGCTTAGATGAATTGCTTAGACATGATTTTTTCATGTCTCATGCTTCCCTGCTAGCAAAGATCTGTTCTCTCTATCATAGCAGAGGAAAATGGCCCAAATCCCCAAGAAATCTGCAGATTTCAAATGGAGATGTGTTTCTTGTGTAGGGTCGAGTGAGAAGGAGGTCACTCAAGCCTTCGTTCAGCTGCCGAGAGAGTTCCCTGTTTACCTGTGGCAGCCCTTCACCCGACACAGCTACTACTGCTTCCCGGAGGCAGAAGCTCAGAGGCAGTTCAGCGCCGTGCTGGGGGACTGCGTGAGACACTCAAACCACGGTGAGTGCAGAAAGGGCCTCTTCCTGTACGTCATTCACCCCGGTGAAGATTTAAATAGCTATTATAATAAAAAAAGCTGTAGAAAAGTGCAGGTCACTTACAAAAGATGCTTGGCTTTCAGTGCCTTGCGGAATGCATTAGCGTACCTCCTCTTCTTACTTTGCTGGGAGTGAAGTTAGGTGGGATTTGAGCTGCAGTGTAGTAAGCTTGGGTAGAAAACAAGGGAACTGCTTTGAAAGTGGCATTCCCCTCTCTGTCAGCTCACTTAAATCTAGTATCATGATATAAAATCATATGAGATTTTTACTAAATGTGGCAAGGCAAACTCTCACCTATGTTTGCAAGCTTTACAAATGCATCATAGATATAGTAGAACAGGTTTATACAACATGGAGGGAACGCAGTCTCCCAGTACATTTCTGTAATGTCATACATATATCAGCAATGGTCAAACATCCAGTGTTTTTTGCAGGTGTTTAGATGGCAGCTCAAGCCCCAGCCATGATTAAGCTTTGCAGGAGGGACATGAATGATGCAGATAAGGCACAGTAATGATTGTTTGCACAAGGGTAAATTTTAAATCTCACTTTCTGAGTATGTTAGACTAGAAAACTTAAAAAAAACCAACTTGTGACTTGCTGGGATTATAAAAGCAACCTTACTCACATGAAATTGGAAAAGCATTTATGAGTTGGATCCTTCAGAAAAAGAAATGCTTTCCTGTTTCTGAGATTACTTTTCTCTTTTTCCATCAAGCTGACCTGGTTCTCCCACTGGTGTCCAGGCTATTCCATGCCTTTAGTGTCGCTTTTAAGTCCAATCTGCTCCTGCTGCCCTTGGTGGGAGATGTGAACACTCAGGAACTTCTCCAGCAATCTCAGCTACTTGGGCCTGAAGTTTGTGCTTGTAGATCCTCCCCAGATCCTTCTCAACTTCCATCTCTTTTCCCTTGTCTCCACTGCAAAAGGCATTCCCGGTCTCCTTTAAGACTCCATTCCCATGACAAAAACAGACATTACTGTATTTCTAGGCAGTTCCCTAAGTTATTTGTGTGGTGCTCGGTGGTGGTTGGTGGCACATGCCTTCTTCGCGGGACACACAGACTTCTCAGTCCCGATGTCAGCCAGGTGGTGTACACTCCCCTGACACGCAGTCTCACTTTCCAGTTCATTTCCAAGCCGTGCTGAAGGCGATGAGATGCAGCATGCCCTTCTAGTGCTGACAGCCTCATACAAACCGGAGGAAGCAGCTCCAATGCAAATCTGTGTAGGTGTGGAGAGGCTGAGGGCTAAGACACCCTAGTAGGCTAGGGACTATAAAGACTGTTAGGGACTATAAAGACTGGCTAGGGATAAATCTAGAAGTAACACGCCTTCATTTGCTATTTCCAAATAGTTTAAGTCTCAATAAATATTCCCTATATAGCTGCCAGAGTAACCCTAATTCCCATAGCATGCCTGAGGGCAAAGCCTGCCTCTGATTTTTGGTTCTGATTACCCTGGTTTAGCTGCTGCAGTCAGGCAGTATGAAAGCACTCCAGACTTTGGAAAGCCACCCCTTTGCTCCTCATCAGGGTTTGGTAAGGAGATGGGGATACAATCAAGTTTTCCTGGCACTGTCAGTCTTCCATGTCTTGAAGCCTGTTCATTAGCTTTAGGGCTTTTCATTTCTCTCTTCTGGAGCAAGTGTAACAGGCTTGACAAAGATTTTGGCAGCCTTTTGTTTTTTTCTTAAAGTTCAGCACATCACTCTAGGGGCCAATTCTGAATTGGCAGAAGCTGGGACTAGATGACCTAATAGGTCTTTTCCATCTCCAATGCCTGTGAGTCTGTGTTTTATTATATTTCATATGGCTCAGAGATTGCTCATTTATGCATCTGTTCCAGGATTTATCTCTCTCAACTTTTTCTGTGGCCAAATTTTTATCTGACAGAAGATGCTTAGTGACACTGGAGTGCCTTCATCAAGGCTCATCCTTTCTGTCATGTTATTTCTGCTCAACAGACTGATTGGTAGATAAAGACAGTCTGGATTAAGACCAGTAAAAGTGAACAGGTTTTTACAGCTAAGGAAATGGGAGCCCCTATTTTTTTGGATTTCTTGGAGTTATACCATCTCCTAGAAACCTAGGTGCTGCAAGTAGAAAAATAATGACTGACCAGCACCCCAGTAATCCAGTTTCAAGGACTTCATATTGATTTATATTCATTCTCGTATGTCTGAAAGATGCTACTTTATTAATACTTTTTAAAGCCTTATTTGCAAATGATTCTGCCTACAAAAAAACAGATATCTGAACAATCCAACAAAGTTAGAGACACGTGCAGCAATAGAGCGGATAATAAGGCTTGTGATATAAAAATTGGCTGTGCTCTTTCATTAAAAAAAATCGAAAGAGAGAAGAAATGTGAAAAATCCTTTGGGTTTGATTGTGGAATATAATTTAGTGGGATAAGGAGCCCTGGCCAAGACAGCACTTGCCCCACCTCTTCTAAAAAGTGCCAAGTTAACATTTGTCCGGGCAGATTTGGCAAGGGCAGGAGAAAGACAGATGTAATGTCTGATCAGAAGTTGCCTTTCTGCCTTTTCTATGATCTACCACTTCTGGAAAGGAATATATTGCACTGGGCTTTAGCCAAGAACTTGGGGGAGTTTTCAGTTTTCTCCCAGGAAGCAGAATTAAATATTGTCTCTTGCTGAACAGAAAACTGGACTGAATCAGCATGTGGTCTTGTGATGGGAGCCACCCTGGCATTCAACTGTTTCCTCTCTTTAGAGTCCCTCTGTTATAAATAACCAGTCCATCCTGTGTTTCTGGGTTTTCTGGTCAGAACTCAAGGTCAGGAGAATAATTACAAAAGCGTTTGGATTTAGTGATGGCTGCTTGCAAATATGATTCAGATGTACAGATTATGGGTTCTCCTCCCCCCCTAAATTTTCCTATTGTGTTTGTCCTTCCTCTATACTAATTAATAAGGATTGCAGTTCGAGAGGACAATGATTTCCTTCATTATCAATAGAATATGGAGACGTTTTGCACCTTTCTTGAATACAGTTTGGATAAAGCATATTTAAAACCTTTAAAATGAGCCTAACCCAATCAGGACCTGACTGGTCATGGCTTTAAAAATATTCTAGCACAACTGGACACATACATTGATATTCTGTGAATTATCCTGACTCTGAAAGTTGGTTGACTGATTAACCTGCATACAGAAATCATCCCAGTTCAGTGATTCATCTGGGCAGCTCCCGCTTTGCTCTTTGCAAGTTGGCTTTTGTTATGCCGCAGGATTTGGGGACGAGATCAAAGGCTTTTTGGGTTTTACACTGCGTGCTCATGTGATTAAGAGCTAATTAATGAAAACACAAGTGGCCACGGAGCAGTAATGAACCCTGACAAACTGATGGGTGCAGAGGGGACTCCAACCTGGCTGCCCTGGCTCTCAGAGGAGGGGGCTCAGCTCATGGTCCAGCTGTGAAATCTACTCAGGTGGGCCACCAGCAGCTTTCCCCAACTGCCTTGCAGTCAGCAGGGCTGTCATTGCCTAAGCTGGTACAGTACTCATTGTAGGATGGAGGGGAAGAACACTTGAGGATTGTGTAAAGCATATTATGGGATATTTTCCAGGGCAGTGTGGGAATATGTGACATTTATTATGGGATGTATAGGGGAAGGACCAAAGGTGGGAAAAGGGAAGGATCAAAGTGGATTGGAGAGGAACAAGCCTGAGATAACAGAGGGAAAAGGGGGATAAATGGTGCCAGTTGGGTGTGAACAGGAGACTGGTCGGTATGCTTGTCCTGTCAAGCCCCACGCTAGATCACCACAGTCTGTTCTGTCTTCTTACTAAATGCCACTTCTAACTATTTTCCAGGGCGAGGTTGCTCTCCAGTGTGTGTGTTGGGGTCCTAAGTGCCAGCAAGTAGAGAAGGAGGCACGGGGTCATGGGGACACCACAGGTTTGAGGTGTCAGCACCTGGAGAGATGTGTGTGAGAGGTCCCGGTGCCAGCAATGGGAGAAGGGACCACAGAGCACAGGGTCCCATAGGTGTAGGGCCATCATCTGGTGAGACCAGAGTGTTTTTCTAATGAGTTTCCACCAGCTGTGCTGGAGTACTAGAAGCCAGTACTTCAGTCACTACCAAACTTCAAGCTGGACTACCTGGCAAGTAGGAGAGGAGGTGTGGGAGCCAGCAACCAGAAAGCCCCCATAGGGCTGGGACCGGTACTGAAGGGACCATAGGTCCGAGCCAGCTACCAAAGAGACATAGCGGGTCTGAGACGTAACGCTGAGGGAAACATAGGTCTGGACCTGCTGTCAGTGGGGGCATGTAGGGAAGGACGTAATGAGAGCTGCCAGATTTGGGCTACGGATTTGGCAACTCTAACATAAGTCATACTTGCCTTTGGTTCCCTTTTCTGGCTGAGTTTGAGTTAAATATATTTCAAAATTGCTTTTCACCATTCAGTATGTCACCCTTCTCCTGTGAAAATTAATGACTGTGTAACTTTGCTCCCAGGAAAAAAAAGATGACTGTAAATTTGCGTACTCAGTACAGAGGTGCTACTATCTAATCTTGGCTGTTGTCTAAAAACTGCTTTACGATACCTCAATCAAAAAGCTTCCTTCCCTCCAAACTGTTCATTCTTTACCAACAGCTTTGTAATTAAGGACTTCTGTGGGTGGCATTAAAGAACACTGTGTGCAGCTCTGAAATACCACGATTCATTTCTCATTGAATTTATTACCTAAGCTTAGGGTATAAAACATTATAATGGGCATATGTGCTGATTTCAAAGCTTTTTGGCTTTGATCAATGAATACAATAAATGAAAGGGTGAATTAAATTAGTTAAATGACATAAATGTGCACATAGAGACATTGAGGGAAGGGCTCTTAATGTAGAACAAATCAGCTATAAAAAATCATAGAATTATAGAATGGTTTAGGTTGGAAAGGATCTTAAAGATCATCTAGTTCCACCCCCCCTGCCATGGGCAGGGACCCCTCCCACTAGACCAGGTTACTCAAAGCTCCATCCAATCTGGCCTTGAACACTTCCAGGGATGGGGTCTCAACATTTCTCTGGGTAACCTGTTCTGGTGTCTCAACACCCTCATAGTGAAAAATTTCTTCCTAATACCTAATCTGAATCTACCGTCTTCCACTTTGAAGCCATTACCCCTTGTCCTGTCACTACATGCCCTTGTAAAACTCCCTCTCCAGCTTTCTTGTAGGCCCCTTCAGATACTGGAAGGCTGCTATGAGGTCTCCCCAGAGCCTTCTCTTCTCCAGGCTGAACAACCCCAACTCTCTTAGCCTGTCTTCATAGGAGAGGTGTTCCAGCCCTCTGATCATCTTTGTGGCCCTGCT